GGGGACTGTCCCGGGCCGGGCCGCGACACGGCGGGGACAGCAGCGCTGCGCAGGTGGGTGGGCACGGCGCGGCACACGCTGGCCTGCTGAATGAGTGCCGAGAGGTGCTGACACCATAAGCGAGTCGGGATAGGTGCCGACGCGATGAACAAACCCCTGCTCCGTCAGGATGGTCTGAACAGTGCTGAGGGATCGCTGGCAGATCTTCCTGTTCTTTTTSGTTTTGTTTTGTTACAGCAAAGCTGCAGAGTGTTTTATAAGGATGAGCTTAAGGGATTCCAGAAGGATCACGAGATGTTGGAGGTCTTGCGGGGTCTCCAGTCCAGCGTCCTGCTCAGAGCAGGGACAGCTCCGGGGTCACAACGAGAGGCTCAGGGCTTTGTCCAGCGAGGTCTGSAAAACCTTTCAGGATGGAGAGCACACAACTTGTGCCTCAGTTTTGTTCTCATGGTGAAGGAGTTTCTCCCTTTACCCAGTAGAGCCTTCCCATGTTCATCATGTGCTCATCATGTTCCATCATCCCACACTGATGTTGAAGGCTCACTGCAATGCTTCTGTTATATTTGTTTGGTGAAATTGAAGTGAGRGAAAAGAGATAGTCGGGTTTGTCTCTGCTCTCCCAGCCTTCCAGGTTTGATATGTAAATAGATCCTGTTTCCAGTCAGRATTTGTGATTGCAGGTTCATTTATACCAAAGGCCACCAAATACAAGCTATTCACAGACACAGTATAATGATCTCAATGAATCAAAATTTAGACTGGAAAGGAGGAAAGAGGCTCAGGGGTGACCCTATCGCTGCCTGCAATTCCCTGAAAGGAGCTTGTGGGAAGCTGGGGATCGGCCTCTTCTCCCAGGTAACAAGTGACAGGATGAGAGGAAATGGCCCCAAGCTGTGGGAAATGGCCCCAAGCTGTGCTGAGGGAGGTTCAGGTTGGACATTAGGAAGAACTTCTTCACAGAAGGGGTTGTTAAATGTTGGAATGGGCTGCTCAGGGAGATGATGGAGTCACTGTCCCTGGAGGTGTTTCCGGAAAGACTGGACATGGCAGTCAGTACCATGGTCTAGTTGACAAGGTGGTGTTTGGTCAAAGGTTGRGCTTACTGATCTTAAGGGTATTTTCCCTTAAGATSCCAACYTAATTGATTCTGTGATTCTGAGATATTTCTTATGTAATTTACAGGGATGTTCAGTCTTATGCAGGAGGTAATAAATACGGAGGCTTTTTAATAGGAATGTGTGTGCTCACGTAGAGCAAGGTAGSTGGTAGTTTTTGGCCTTACTTGAAATAGTTGCTTCAGAAAGCATCTGTATTTCAAGAGAGTGCAGTTCTCAAACTGAGCACATGGATGATGAAGGAAAGACATATGGAAGCTTGGCATTTCAAATGGGAAAAAAATTCATTTCAAATTAAGTTCTTGCCTAGTTGTTTACATTTGGAATATCTTTTTGTGAGCRGAGGAGCATGACAGGTGCAGCACCTCAGTTGAACCTGTTCCTGCAGCTGTTCTTTCCTTTCTACTCATTAGGTTTGGCATAAACAACACTACAGGAAGAAAATGACCCACTGGTTCCATCGCAACCCTCTGAAGGCTACAGCTCCAGTTTCATTTAATTATTATGGGGTAGCCACCACTCCAGCTGCAACAAAGATTTGCAAGTAAGTGTACTTGGGATTGACTTCACTCTGCCTCTTACTGTTTGGGGGACATCCTTAAAAGYAATGGTTGCTCTTCAGTTTTTGTGCTGAAGATGACTAGAGACGTGGAGGCAGGGAGGCAGTAAGACACTGCTAACATTGAACATTTGCTTACAGGGAATGAATTCTCCAGTTTTCAAGTCTCTGAGTGCATAGCAAGGCCTRTTATAACATTGCAGAGGCAAAAGAAGAAACACTTCATTATCTTGATGATTGCGCATTCCTCTGCAAAAGATTGCCTTATTTCCATAAGTGGATAAGGCCTGACTGTTTTGTTGTGGATAGGAATTTAATGAAAAGGGATCTCAGCTTATTTTGCAGATCTATTCTTATCTCCTCATTATCCCATTCTAATGTTGAAGAATGTTCCTGCTTGTTTTTCCCTTTCCTTTCTCTGCACCCAACCTCTTGGTAGGTAAAGGCATAGTTATTTTAGATTGTGTTAAAACAATTGATTAGTTACTGATTTTGCACTGCTTTGTGTCCAGAATGGATTATACTAAAGAGTCAATCATATGCATCATAGGAGAAAGGAAGATTTCTCTACTAGTACATTTTGAGTAGAATTTCTGAGGGCTTTTTCTGTTTCTTTCCTTTCTTTCATCTAGTGACTTGAGGTTATCTCGAACGCGGCTGTTGGAGCTGTTTACAGACTCGAGTTGTAATCCAGAAATGATGAAGAATGCAGCTGATTTGTACTTCTCACTCTTGCAAGGTAGGAAGATTTATTAGCAGTACTACTATTTCATCAAGAGAAGTATCAGTTGAATTTTAATGGCACTTCTCAGAATGTGTATTGTGCTGATCTCCTGTAAAGAATTGTTGCACTTCTCAGGAAGGAGAGTGTGTTCATGGGTTCTGTGCTTGATACCAGTGGTGTCTACTCACCTGGCCCTTTCTCCAAGTTTCAGTGTCCTTTGTGACCTTGCTAGTACTAAGTCCTGTCCTCCTGCTTTTAACCTCATTCTGCTTCCTGCTGGAGGAGGAAACAAATATTTGTGTCTTAGGTGGTGGCAGGTTGCTTGTTAAGTATAAATTGAGTCTCTTGATTAGTTGATATAATTTGCTCTTCAGTGTAAACTTCTGGTTTGTCTAATACTAGATCATAGACTTGTTTCAACTCTGCCTTCTTCTACTGCTTGTCTTMAGGATGTATATATCTGTGTAGGTGCTCATTAGCATAGTATCTACATTTTCAGTAGATGGTTCACCTGTGGTGACACATTTATTTGAAATCGTCTTGCCAATATTTTGATAACTGTCTCTTAGCAGTCAGGTGCTCAGCCAGGTTTCTTAGAGCTCAGTTTTCAGGGATCAGCTGATTCAAGGAATGTGGAGTCTTGCAGCCTATGGGAAGTAAATATTGGTTTAGTGAGCCCCTGAGAGGGTGTAGGCTAATGCCRCATCTAGATAAAGGTAAGATCAGAATCCATGTTGCTACAACCAAGAATTGGAGACTTTCTTTAGAAAAATATCATGCTTGACCACTAAAATCTTCTGCATGTGAAAGGAACAAGTATTTTCTGTGTTTATAAACATGTTCCATGCCTAAAGCTGTTGCCCCAGTCACAAGCTCTTGACCTCTTTAAATCTGTAAGACCTGATTTAAAGACCAAGGCCCTTCTTCAGCCTCCCTAAAAAATTCCTGGGCCTGCATGTGCTAGGATTTGAATATCCCATAGCATGAGCTTCATCCCACTGAGTGCTGCTTTCTGGGCTGCTGGACATAAGGAACCAATTTCCTGTAGCCCTGGAGATAGATGATGGCAGGTGAGCCCATGCTTAGAGGCCTTTTTCCCTCTCCCTGTTGATCAAGCCTCTTTTCCTGGAATTTCCTGGTTGTCACTATGGTGGCAGAGACAGCCACTCACCTTGAACAACCTCTGCCATCCTGTACCTGGGTCAGTCCAGCTGCCAGCTTATCACCATATGGGACATGCAGACATCTGCCAGGTTTTCCTTGAGCAGTCAAGATTCTCAGGGTTGAGTTGCTAATGTGCTGGGCGAGCAATTCCCTGTAGTGGCCAGTTGTTTTTTTCACATTTTGTTCTCAAGATACTGAGGAATAAAAGCCTCAGGAAGTACCATAGGGTTTTGAGTGGTTCAGCAAGAACCATTCCTTCATTCATATCTGTATTTTTATTGACCCCTCTCCTTCATTACACGTTTCTGTTTCCCACTGTGAGATTGCCTGTTGGTACATTTTTTTATTCCATAGGTTTTATCCTTTCACTGGATGACTCTTCCCAAGAGTGCAAGTTGAGGTATATCCAGAATTTCAAGTGGACAGACACRTTACAAGGACAAGTCCCGAGGTTCGTGTGCTTTTCTGGTTGTGCTGTTTGCTGCTCTGTTACAYACGTTCACCTGTTCCAGCACAGGCCTGAAGGAAAACWSAAGTGTAGCAARGTGTTGAACACAAAGTAGTTTCCAAAAAGGTGTTGCCATGTTTTTGGTAACTRCTGGACAGTGTTAGGTGTTCTGAAGTGTGTGTGATCTTTATGTAAAGTGTGAGAATGCAAATAATAGTAGAAGGATCCATTGGGTTTTAGCTGATCTACAAACTGGGTGTGCAGTTGGCTAGAGCAGTACAGAGCTGTAGCTTTGAGGGTGTTGGTTGAATATGATAAGAAGGCTCACCGCAGTGTAAAATTTCTTCATTTGGCACTATTGCCTGACCAGGAGCTTCTTCGTGTTTTGAGGTTCCAGTGTTGCTGAAGATCTAATTTTTTTCTTGTGCTCTGAAGCTCCTAGCACATGCACTCTTGGYTCAAACAAACAAATCTTCTGTTTCCAGTAGGAATACAGATTTGTAACATTCTGAATTATTCACTTGTCTCTTGCTTTTGGAGGTAATTGTGTTGCATAACCACGCCTACAAATATGTCAAGCTTTAGCTAGGAGTGCTTGAGCTCCTAAAAGCTTTTATTCCCTTTGGAAGAAAATCTGTTGATTAGGACTTTCTTCTAATTTTCTCATGGTCATACACTAGTGCCAACATTATTCTTCCCACTCCCACATCTTTCTTTTTAAAAGGTCTGCTAGTTCCTAAGCTATACTGAATTTGTGATTGCAAGTTCAGTCTTTTCAAAGACTGTTTTTAGCCTCTGAAACTTCCTGCTATTTGCACATGCTGTTTGTCTGCAGTTACATAAATACTTGCAATAACATTTATTTGAGAGAGTTGTAACAGACTCTTGCTTATTAATTTAGCAGTACAACTTTAAACTGGACATTCCAAGGCTTTCCACAAAATGTGCAATTGAAAAAAAAAAAAAGAGATGGAAAAATATCAGCCACACCCAAAGCTAAACAAATCTCAAGTTACAGTTTTAAAATAAAAGTTCCCAAAAGGGAAGGGTGGGCATCTGAATGTGGGAGATTCTAATTATGAGCTCTTAAAGGGAATAAGTAAAAAACTGAAGTCTCTCTTAGGCAGTTCAGCAAGTAGGAGGTTCTGAAGTGGAAGTTGTTGACATCTTAAATGAAAAATGTTTTATGGAGAGAAATGTTGACTTCTGCTATGTGAACCATTAGCAGAGAGAGATTGTCAGAACAAAACGGAATGCATTAAGTTGTTTGGGGGGGGTTTTGTCTGTCTTTCTTCAGTGCCCAGCAGGATGCAGTGTTTGAACTGGTGTCCATGGGATTTAAYGTAGCTCTGTGGTACACAAAATAYGCATCAAGACTCACTGGAAAAGAAGAGTAAGTGGTTTTCTTAATAATTCTGCTGCAATATTCCACCAAAGATTGAGCAGGTGTGGGGTTTGCCTGTTGTGGGGCATGTCCAGCTCAGACAGAGCTGGCAAGGTGGCACCTGGCCTTCATACACAAGCACTTGAATCCCATTTTGCCTCTGTAAACCAAGTTGATTAGTACCACATGACTGTGTACAGAGAAAGTGCCAGTTGGGAATAAACGCTTCATCACCCCACTCTAAATGTCCAGGTACGAAACTGAGATTCTCAAAATCACATCTCTGCTGACTTTAGCCCTAAATTAGACTAATTTAGACTTCTAAATTCTTGGCTTTTAACACAGAGATTACCTTTTACTTGCAAGTCATTACACAATCTCATGTTTCTTTTTTTGCTTTTCTGTTAGCAAGTTCTATTTGATTATTTAATGATTGAGCACTGTAAGAAACTCCTTCACTCTGAGGGTGGCACAGCCGTGGGACAGGTCACTTAGGGAATTAGTGGACTCTTGATTCTTGAAGGATTTAGGATTCGTCTCGACAAAGCCATGACTGACGCGATCTACTGTTGCCAATTGTGGTCACCCAAAGCAGGAGGGGGGATTAAATGACACCTAGAGGCCCTTTCTAACTAATTTTACCGATTGATTCTATTTTCTCAGTATAACAGAAGATGAAGCAAAAGATGTTCACCGCAGCCTGAAGATAGCAGCTGGGATTTTTAAACACCTGAAGGTAGAAAAACTTCCTTTGCTTTTCTGTTTTTCAAGGTATCTCCAAATACTTGATTTTGTCTCTTAGAAAAGCCTTTGCTGTACACACATACCTCAGACCTCCTGAATGATACAGGAAAAAGAAGGGTATTAATATATTGTGGTGCCACTTATTCCCAGTGGCAGTGGAAGAGTGATTTGTTTGTCTGCCCATATCAGGTGCAGCAATGCAGCCAGCTGTCTTGGGTCCATCACTCAGTGTCCCATCCATTTAGGAATGAGGCACTCACTTTGCACTGGCAGCAGTGATGTTAAGCCTAAACTAACTCTGAGACCTGCTTTGTATTTAGGAAAGTCACATTCCAAAATTGATTACTCCAGTAGAAAAGGGAAGAGATTTAGAAGCTCGACTTATAGACTCCTACATCGTACAGTGTCAAGCTGAAGCTCAAGAAGGTATCTTCAAATTACATTGGTTGAGTGTGGGAAATGACTCTTTGTGGGTCACTGATGTCTCATGAACTCTGCTTGGCAGCAAGTACTTTATTCTCCTGAAGTACTGTGGCTTAGTAGGGCAAGTTGCTTTTAAAGAAGCTTACATTACAATTATAGAAGGAAAATGCCAGAAATCAGTCTGATGTTACAAATGTAATATTACGGGATACCTTTCACTTTGGAAGAGCTTGTGTGTGGCACTCCTCCCTCTTTTTTTTTTTTCCTTTCATACAATGCTTTCACCACCATGTTTGCATAACATAAATTCCCAGTTCCTTTACTTTAAAATAAGGTTCTGTTTATTAGCTAATCTTAAAGCTAGCATTCCTTCAGTTTTTTCTATTAAATTGGAATCATTCTATCCAAGAAACAATCTGTCTTTATTTTGCTGATTGCTTGACTGCACAACATCTATTTTTTGTTCATGCAGGGGTTTTAAAACCCTAAATGCCTCTGCTGATTTGATGTGGTAGGACATTTCAATTAAACTGAAACCGTGGTGTGTAACTGTTTTTCAGTGACAATTGCTCGGGCTATTGAGCTGAAACACAATCCAGGCCTAATAGCTGCTCTTGCATATGAAACAGCCAACTTCTACCAAAAATCTGGTGAGTGTCTTGTTTTGTATCCTTAGTGACTTGGTTTATGCATTCTTGCCAGCAGACACACTTCATCCACCCATAAAGTRCAATATTAACACTGTTCTCAGTGGATATGGAGCATGTATTGAGCTTCTATTTAGCATATTTAAGGCTTCAGTTATCAGCATGTATTTTGATAAGGCCTTTCGTTTTTGTGGGAATCTTTTTCTGTAGCTAATGGTTGGAAATGTTAGCAAGGGAAGACAGACTAGCAGCAGACAAATGGCCTGATGTAAATGGAGTGTGTTCCAGCCACCTTTGGGCAGCAGATCGTGATGCAGARCATGGAAAGTGTAGTGGGTTAATTATGTACCGTGTTCCAGATGAGTAAGATGAGCTCTGGGCTTACTGAGGCAAGTGGGAAAAGTGTAAAAGATGGGAGTCAGGAGATCACTGTAATATACGTCACATTATAGGTCACTACTGCAACTTAAACTAGGAACAAGCTTTGAAATGCYGCCTAAAAATACTTAGGAGAATTAACCATTCCAAATTTAGTGGACAGCAGTTTCAGGGATTCTAGGGACAACTGCATGATAGCTGCATATTTTTGGGTTTTTTCTCATTGTTTCTGTGTGCCTTTGCAGGAGTAATTTTTGTCACTTGCTTCTGGATACTTTATAGTTAAGATCCATTGCTAGCTTTAAGAATTCTGGTCTTTGGGGTTTTCTTTCTGGAAATGTCTGAAGAAYAACTTTACATCTGTGTTCATAGATCAAACATTATCCAGTCTGGATCCAACCTATGCAGGTAAATGGAGGAAGTACTTAAACTTGAAGAGCTGTTTCTATATGGCCTATGTAAGTACTTTTGATGGCAGCAGTCACAGCTTGTTGTCTGTCTGCTAAGGGCTGGATAAGGAATGGGGGCTAAGTATTGMCTTGGCTTTCTTTCCATTCTGTGAAGAGGGATTGTGCAGTGTCAGTGRCTTTCAAAGTGTTTTTGTGGAGCCAAATGAAATTGCAGCAGTGTGGAATTTATTGTGATCACGGCTCCTTAATTGAAGCCATTCAGGTTGAGCATAATGGCCGTCTTCTGTTACCTACATCACAGTCTGATCCTGGGCACAATTCAGAGCTGAGCATCTTTTGGAAGGCCCTGAATGAAACTGCRTCAAGTACCAGTAGGTACCATTCCAAGCACTGTCCCTGTTTGCCTGATGGATGTCCTGGCAAGTGCAAGTGCATCTCCTAGCTCTTGGGATCCTAGCTGCTCAATTTGCTGTTTGTTTCTTGTAGCCTGCCACAATCTGTAATCTGTCTTTTTTGTACTGTACAAAAGTCCCAAGCGATGCAGTTAAAATAATTGTCTTTCCACTTAGGTTGAACCTGTAGCTAAAGGCTGCTTGCCTTATTAGGAGGTTTGAGAGATGAGGGAGGGTCAGAGTTGTGGTTCTTTTCCTTTTTTAAAATTTGTGTGATCTGGGCAGCAGTAGATTAGATAGAATTGTACGGTGAGAACAGACACTAAAGGAACAGGGCAAGGTAGGCTTTAGTTGATGGGATTGTTCCWTCACCTATTGTATTTACTATTTAAACTTGACTCCTGATAATATATAATAGACAATTCAGTTCTCACTGGAATACAATATCACCTTCAAGCATAGGTATGAAGGAATGGGACTTTTTGGGGTGGAAAAAGTATTTGGACTATGACAAAATATCTCAGACAGCAGAACACCTCATCTCTTCCAGATTCAGTGATGTTTGTCATAGATGGAGTTTTCCAGTGTTCAAGTAGTTTTAGTTTTCAGTCTTAGCTTTGTAAACTTGACTGGGATTCATTTTCTTTCTGTGCTGGGGCTTAATGCTGCACACTGCTGCAGTGAGAGCTTGCAGTGGCTGTGTGCCAGTGCTTTTGGTCAAACAAAGCTTTGTGCAGCCCACTTACTCTTGGCTAGACTTGAGACAGGTCGGTTCATAACAAGCGTTTATGGTTATGGTTCATTGTATTCATGTTGAACTTCATTAATGGTTCAGTGAACACTGCTTTGACTTGCATTCCTCAATTGTCAGTTACCTGCAGGGAATGGCAGCTTCAAAGAGCTGCAGCTGAAGTAAGGAACAGGAAAGGGGAATTGTTGCAGGAAGGGCCCAATGGTGTTGGTAATGATTTTGTCCTCTCCCTGCAGGCATACTGCTACCATGGCCAGACTTTGCTGGCAAGTGATAAATGTGGGGAGGCAATCAGATCTCTGCAAGAATCAGAAAAGTGTAAGTGTGRCTGAGACTGGATTGCAGGGTCTGATGATGGCATGTCTGTTCTATTTTGCTGTCTCTCGTTAATCTGCTCTCCAATAAAGGTTTTATCTGTCACCTGATGAAAATCCAGCACACCTTTGGATAGAGGCAGTGCATGCTTTTCTTTTGTCATATGAAAGACTGTCTTTTGTAACAGTGCTGCAGAAAATTTCATCTTCGCTTCTCAGCCTGGCTTTTTTTTAAAGTCTGTCTTTGAACTGCCTGCAATACACACTGTAAAAGTCAATGGTGGTCATCCTGTTTTCTGGTCTGTATGTTAGAGGAGTACAGCCATTTCTGCTTTGGGGGTTAAATAGAAAAACTAGACCATGCTTGTTTATTTTAAAAYAGGTTTCAGTAACTTACTTCCTTTCTATTAATTTGAAAGGTAAATTCAGGTAAGTTTGCAGTAGTTCAAGGTCTTCTGTTCAGTCTTCTCTCTTCAAAGCTCTTGCTGCCCCAATGGCCTCAACTGCATAACTTTACTACAATGTATAAAAACGCTCAAATCTTCAAATTGGAAACTTTAATATTAATTTTTAAAATAAATTTAAAAATTACTAAGACCAAACTAAGTTGGATTACTTGTAGTAAACCAAATACTCTTATGCTGTTCAGAGATGGGTGCTTCTTCTCCCACTCCATGTTGTTTATTRTTGTTTGGTTTGGGATATCAACTGTGCATGGACACCGTCTTACTCTCTGTTTTTCTCCATCATGTGGCACAGTTCTTGGGCTTATTGTTGCCCAGTAKACATGTAAGAATGCTTTCCTGTATCTTCCCACTCAAAAAAGCTTTTTTTTTTTTTTTTTCCTGTTCCTAGTCACTTGTTAGATACAGTAAATCTTGGCTGGRAGTGCTGCCTTTGAATTTGGTTTGGTATTGTTTCTAGGAAGAAAGAGGCCTGAATGGATTCTGGTGTCTTCTAAAAGTGAAGCACTGTGGAGCAGAACCATGATTTAAGAGGGTCATGTAAATAATTTTTACTTCCTTTCTTTCTTACAAAGATTTTGCCAAGGCTGAAGCGTTGTGCAAAGAATATGGAGAAACCAAGGGACCTGGGACTACTGCCAAACCTTCCGGACATCTTTTCTTTAGGAAATTGGGAAATTTGATTAAGAACACACTGGAAAAATGCCAGMGAGAGAATGGATTTATGTAAGTAATTCATGGTTGTACAGCACTCTGTATGAAGTGTTATTACCTCATTTGCCTTTATTTCAGGAATGGGATGGCAAATTTTACTCTCCAATTATTACATTTCCTTAGGGCATGGCATGTAAGTTCAAGGTAAATTTACGATTCTATGATTTTCTCTTAGCAGATTTGCAGTGGGTCTGTGCTGTGACACTCTGTTCTGGGCCAGTTCAGCAGGGTGGGTTGGACTGACATCTGGAGAGGTTAGACAGTTTTCTTCCCTTGTTCCTCAGCCACCTTCTTACTTTTCCTTCTGCACCAGAGAAGGTCTGCAGAACTTGCTGTGTTGCTCTAATGCACTCTTCCTGGCTCCTGGGGTCTGGTAGGCAAAAGAGGACAGAGGGGGAAGTGGAGAAGCCCAGTAGGTGATTCTGCTTTGCAAAAAGGGAAGTCAAAACATAGTGTTCCCTTCAGCTGAGGTCATGCTTAGGGTGCTAAAAGCTTTACCAGTCCAAGTATTATTAATGCTGTGAATAGGGCTTTCTATTATTAGTTAATGTCCTTCCAAAAAGGATTTGGAAATACCARGTTTTTATCTCAGTTGAAAATACCRGGATTGGTTTGGCTTTAGAGTTCTTTTGCTCATTTATTTCTCCCCTTCCCTCCTACTATGATTTTATATTCTGTAATAGGTTTGTTATTTCCCTTTTTATGACATTTAAAGACCTGCATAATAGKGGAACTGACTAAACAGAAAGGATTGTCAAGTACATTAAACTGAACTGCAGATAGGAAAATAAATACTCTTCTCTGCTTTGSTTCAAAAACCCATTGTCAGAGCTTCCAACAACAGCATAGGGAGATCTCAACAAATGCATTTCCCTCTAGAACAAAACTTGGAAAGAGAAAGCAGTGACTGTTTTGGGAGAGCTCTGCAGCACAGGAAGAGAGGCAGAGTGTGTCAGTGTGCCAGTCCAGCTCCTGCTGGTCTGCCKAGGGCACAGGTACACCCTGAGTCAGGCTTTGCCCTGTAGCCAGTCTTTGGTGGGCCTGCAGTGTTGTTTCCATTATCTGCTGAAGCACATTGARACTGACTGAGGAGAAGAACTGTCCTTTTCATCTCTCTTGGGAAGCATTTAAAATCCTAATTTGTATAGTTAAGGGTTTTTTTGGACAAAAGATASTCTTCTCATTGAAACACTGGGAGTAATAGTTATCAGGAGAAAACCCCCCTTTGCTGTTAGGAGATGAACAATAATACTATGAAGAAATTGCTTTTGTTCTTGTGAATTTTGCTGGCAGGATGCATATTAGACAGTATCTTAATGAAATGGAAGAGAGCAGCAGTGATTGCCRCTGTGAAAACCCAGATTGTTTTTCTTTAGAATTGCAAACAAGACTTTCAGATATGGTGCATTGTATTTTAAATACATTTCTGTGTTGTTACAGCTATTTCCAGAAGGTGCCAGCAGAGGCTCCCCAGCTRGAACTGAAAGCAAACTATGGCTTGGTAGAGCCTGTTCCCTTTGAGTTTCCTGCCTTGAACGYACACTGGACTCCTGAAACAGTTGCAGCATTTGATCTCACCAAGAGGCCAAAGGATGATGCTGTAAGATAATCTCATATGCTCTTCTTTCCCCCTGGCTTTACTCTGTGTATCACATGGAGTTTGGCTCTTGTGTAACATCCCCCAGCTACTGTGTGAAGCAGGCACAGGCTACCACCTAAGCTTATACTTCTGCTGTGCCAGGGGCAAGTCAATTAACCTCTGCCATACTGCCAGTATCTGGAAAATCAGGTTTTTCACTATGTCCTGTAATGTTACAGTAGTGAATGCTATAGAAAGAATCTTTTTTAGAAAAGGATTCATTTAAGCATGCTGAAACAGAAAACAGTTGGCTTTTCTCTCTTGCTTGAGGCTTAGTTCTGCATAGTCAAAGTCTTCAGCCTTGAAAAGAGCRGAATACTAGATTATAATATGTAAAGTTAGCTGCGCACAAATACTGTGCAGACACAGTGGTTTGTACTTGTGGTATTTAGTTGGRTTTTTTTCTTCTTGTTTGCAGGCTAAACCAAAACCAGATGAAGAAGTAAAACCTCTGAAGGAACCAGATATAAAGCCTCAAAAAGACAGTGGATGCCAGATTTCTTAAGTACCATAAGTGCTTTGAATTCACTTTGGAACTCCTATTCATAGAACTCTGGGGCTTCAGTTCTAATCTCCCTTTTTTTGATTCTCCTTTTTTCATTTAGAAGACTAATTTAATTTACTTTTGTTAATATGTGTCTATCTTGCTTAAGATTGTGGTGGATTTCTAGGAGGCTATTTATATCTGACTTATTTTTGGGTTTAGTGGGATATCATAGAATGAGTGGGTTTAAATGTTCCTATTGTGCCTCTAGGGAGTTTYTTTTTGTGGGTTTAGTTTTACCCACAAATAGCAAAGGAAGTATCATGATTGTAATGCTTGAGGATTTTTCCATTACCATATATGCTATATCATGTCCAATTCTGCAAACATAAGTTTGCATAAGCAGTTGTATTTATTCGAGTTTTGTCATTCAGGCTTAACACCCTGACATGTTCCAGTTCCCGTAATTGTAGTGAGAGAAGAAAATCTGGGTTTAGTTTGTAACACTCCTATGGTATTTCACAGGACATTCACAGAACTTGGGAAACATCAAGTTCTGCATAACCAGAGCACAATTTATGTTCTCAAACTATTACTCTGTTTTTTCCTCTGTAGATTAGGGGTTTTATATCAGAATTTGTTGTAAGGTACCTTAGCTTGTCTGTCCTTTAGTCAAAACCCTYTAATATCAAAGTGTATCTGAAAATGATGTAGGACATAATAAGGAAGTGCTTAAAAGCAATGCATCAACATCACTCGTTCAGAGTTTTGGAATCTTCAAAGCTTTGTTAGGTTTGAAGGCTTCAGACAGTTCAAATCTCCTGGCCCTGGTAGTCCTGAAGCTGTCATGCTAAGGCAATGGATTTGTGAGGAAGTTGCTATGTTTCCATCTGGGTGGTGACTGGAGGAAGCTGTCAGTAGAACAGAGAGCAAAGAYGAGCTGAAGAGCTGATGGCACAACTGGGAAGCCAAGCTCTAGATACCTTTATGCCCTGTGTAAACAGTGTTGCTTCTCAGCTGAAATCAGGTCTTTCTGAAGAAGACTTGCCAAAAGCCAAACCCAGTCAAGGCTGAGAAAGGAAGAACTTGCTGCTTCCATTGCTGCCTGCTGTGGAAAATGTGACAGCATTCTTTAGTGCTGAGCGCTGCAAACACCCGTGACAACAAAAACATCTTTCTGATTTGCTGCAAATGCTAAGGAATATGATGCATGTGTTGAAATGAGAGCCTTGCAATCCCTGGGTACCAGTTGCTGCATTTCTCCTTGTCAGTGAAAGAAACTGAGCAGCCTGACAATGTTCATCCTTTCAGCAAACATGATGGCATATGCACTTAACGTGATTTAGACTGTAAACACATTCCTCACTTTGTACTCTTTGTTCACCTTCCACTGTGCTGTAATTCAGTGCTTCTAAAATCTTTCATGGGGATTGGAGTCACTTAGCTTAGAGAGCAGATGGGTAGCTTCTTGAAGACCTCAAAGCTGTTGAGGAGGTTAATAGGAAACTCAAGACTCTTCCTGAGACGCTGGACCAAACTACAAAATTTGTTGCTACAAAAGGCAAAGAGGCTTTTAATGCTGCCAGTTGTGGGTTGATCACATGCAGACCTCCTTGCTTCCCGTGATGGATTTTATTTCTGTGAGTTCTGCACATAAAAATAAGTGTAAAGTGAGCTGAATTTCTTTGGAAGAAGTTTCTGTTCTGCWGGGGCCTAGAGGATAATGAGTATCAAGAAGAATGTATATCTAAAATTGGTCCATTTCTTCTGGTTCTGCACAGGGACTAGGGGTATGTTTCATGAAGAGTTACTCAATCTGTTCATAACTTGATCAGCTGACTCATTAGACTTCTTGCTGTTAAAAGACCAGCTTAAGTTTTGCAGTGGAGTGTGGAGTTAGTTTTCTTATATAGRTTTTAATTCTAAAAATATATTCCAGCTGTAGTCATCAACATTTGCTCAGCCTGCCCCCTTTCAGGATCAAGATACTTTTAACTCAGTTTCATAATCACTATTTTTTTAGTTACTCATTATTTTTCAGAACTCTTTGTCAGTATGTACACAAATCAACTGCATTGGTTTTCTCTCTGTGCGGACTAGATCCCGTTTTCCCTCCTCCCCTCATTTTCCCTTCCATCTGCTACAAGCTGTGGCACAGACTTACCYTTGTTTGCTAATTCATGTGCATGTCCTGGGACTCATTTCCAATGCAGCTTTTACCCGTGGGTGGATTCCAGTAGAGGAATATCTTACAATCAAATTAACAAATCATGACTAAATCGTTCCCAAACAACTTGGTTGGAAAGATTGTTTTATGGACTTGGCATTCTTTGGACACTTTCTCAAACCRAGTGGTTTGTCTGAAACAAGTTCACTGTAAATAGTTTGGGGCATAACCAAGTGAATTGTGTCAGATGATGACATTACTTAAGCCTAGCTATGTAACCTCTTATGCCATAGCTGTTTCAGTAAATATGATGTAGTAGTTTAAAAATAGACAAATGGAACAAACTAATTCACTTAACATGTGTTGCTTTTCAAGACAAACTTTGTTTACTTGTAGCTAAAATCCTGTGGCAAACACTGGATGGTTTTGCCAAAAAATAAACTGGAGGCTGTTTAGTTTGCAAAGTAGAGAGAGCTGTGAGGCAATGAGCAGCGTTATCTTCTGGTTTTGTTGGGTAGTAGCAGGAATTACTGTAAATAGGRTATAGATTAGCTGTCCAATATGCTTAAGAATATGGGTGAATGAACTGGGAGTTTCAGTTAATCTGGAAACCCAGCTGCCATGTTCCTTCTCTTAGAGTTCCCTTTAGTAATTTTTAAGAGTGAGGTATTTTGAACGGTGACTTTTTAATATTCTAATGTTGCAAGAGCTAGGTTTTGTGGCCTCTCTCTGGTTTTAGAGGCTGTCATGGCTAAGCCTGCAAATCTTGTTGGTGTAAATAGTCTTTAAAAATTTGTGCCCCGTCTGAAGCAGGACAGAACTGCAGCTGAATAAAATACGGAGTGCTGGGCCCTCTGTTTTGTGCTTTGAAAAAAGCAGTGATTGTCTTTAATCTACTATAAACAAAACGTTTGTAGGATTTCTATTTAAATACCTTCCTCCATGTATTTAAATACATTTCCTCTATGTATTTAAATACACTTCTTCCATGTTTCGTGTTTCCTGGGTTTACAGTAGTTAATCTCCATCCAGCATGTGACACACCTACAACTGAGGGACTAAACCTGGCCCTTGGATGCTGATGTCTGCCTCCCACTGGATTTGGTAGAAGAGTTCTACCTGTCAGCCTAGGGATGGTGTTTGGTCACTTGGATGTTCAGCATGGATATGTGGTGTGTCTGTAACGATAGTAGTGGTTTGTACAATGAGSAGGAAAATTAATCCCTGTGTCTATGTAGAATAGAGACAACTTTGCACTTTAGAATTTTCTTGTCTTGCAAATTTGGTAAAATACAGTATGGTTGTAAATACTYCTTCCTGTCATTTTGTTGCACTGATTTCAGTACTGTGCTATGGGTAAGGTTTTAACAGGAAACATTACTAAAATGTATTTTTACTTGTCTGTGTGTAAAACAAACTCATGARGCATATCTCTTGCCTTCAGTATTGGAGAACATGAGAGAAGGCAGTAGTTCATCTGTCTTCTGTGGGAATTCCAGGAGTGAAAACTTTCTGTGTGTTGGCTGCGGGATGAAACATTTCATCCCATCCCTGTGTGTGATATTTAAACTGAAGTTTCAGCATTAACATRAATCCTGTTCATGCCTATTAATTATCGCTAAAAAATCCTGTCTCTAAAGATCATTGTCAAATTACTATGGTAGTATAAGCTGGTTTTTTTTCCTTGTCACTGGCCCAACTGAGTTAGGAATAAAGCAGTGAGTAAGACTGGCATGGAAAAGCCCCTGCAGTGTGTATCTGTCTCCAGATTGTGAGCACAGTGTAAAGGCCTTTCCCCAGTGACCACTGGTTTCACTCAGACCTTTTCCTGCTGGTGATACTCTCAAGTTCAATAAAGGTCCCGTGGCTACCAAGGGGMCCTTTGATTAGCTTTTTATGTAGGAAGGCCTCCCTCCTTTGGTGTTGGTGCCTTCATGGATTATAACTACCTGAAGCCATCCTGTACTTTGAGTAATCACACTTCAATGGAATCAGCTCTGAACACATTGACCAAGCAGCCTTACTTTGTGAAGACAGTCACCATGCAATCTTACGCTTCATAGCTGGGAAGTTTGTATATAACCACAAGTTTCAGAATACCATTTAAAATAAACTATCTTAAAATATCAYGTTTTGTTTCATTTTCTAAAGTTTTAAGGATAGTATCAAGAAAAAGGCATACAGAGAATTCTTAATCCTTGCTTATAGGAGGACTTGAATAAGGAAGATACTCAGGTGAAGTGGGTGCATATAGAAGTAGTAGCTACAATGAAGCATGTAAAGTCTTGGGGTGGGAAGATGGGAGTTAGACTTCCCAAACTCCTGTTTAGAAAAAAAGAAAGTAATTAGGCAGGATTTCTTAATGGCTATACAAAATCCCAGTACTAGTACCAAGGTCCATGACACTGTAGGATATTCTGTATAATGTGTGAAGGGGGTTATTTGGGAATAACTCACATAATATTCTGGATGAAGCCTCACGAGCGCAGTGTGTTCAGTCCTCTCTGTCTGAACCAGACATGCATCTACTGGTGTCACCAAGAGTCCCATCTGTTTCTCAGAGCCATGTGGTGGTCCTTTAAGAATTTTGCTTTGTGCCTCCAATCTTTCTGTCTGGCTTCCCCAAAGAAGGAATGTCAGTTTGCAATGTCCATGGATGTAAGGTTGCCTTTGCTTTGTCAAAGCAGAGACAGATTTGCTGTCAAATCTGAGTGTCAGCTGGTCCTCTGTGATGCCTGGACCCTCTCCTCTGCTGATGGTGCTTCCCCAGTTTCTGCCAGCACAACTGAGGCAATACCTTCTCCCTAGTCATCGTCAAACACAGTGCATAACCAGCAGCATAATCAGCGCCAGCAGAACCCTCTTGAATGTATAAAAAAAAATCCCACAGAACTCYGCTGGAGTGAYGGCCACCAAGGGGCAGCAGAGTTCCTGTTTTCCTGCTGTTTTTTCACACAACTGCCCAGCACAGACGGTGTGCACCCAGGAACAGCACTGCAGCTTTAGAACGGGAAGAGATGTCACAAGTTACACCTTCTACACCATTTAATATAGGAGAACTCTGCAGTTACTGACGGGATGATATCCAGGAGCCCATGCATGCTCTGACCAGGAGAGCCGCTACCCTTCTGTGGAGGACACTGCCATGAAGAGYATGGAGCAGGAGCTGACAAATGCAGACAATCTCTTGCCCTGTGTCCCAGCAGCTCCTCTGTCCCAGGGCCTGGCAGCCTCTCCAAGGCATCTGCCCCCAGRGAAGAAAGCARTGAGATGCTGCGTACGCCTATCTGGGGTTTCTCGGGTTTCTCATGAGCTGAGTTTCCATGGCAAGGATTGGAAGTGGGAAGGCTGCAGGGGCAGCTTCTGAGAGCAGCAGCAGCTGCCCCATGTTGGCCAGAGCCCATTCCAGCCCCAAGACAGACCCACTGGTGGCCAAAGCGGTGTCCATCAGCCACCTCCTCGTGGCTGTGGGAAGAGGCCGTGAGGTGGACGATGAGGCCTTGGGCAGCTGGAAATGTGAACCAGGGGCTTCTCTCCTCTGCACACTGCCCTGCCAGTGAGCAGGCTGGGGGTACACAGGAGACTGTGAGGGGACACAGCAGGGACAGCAGATATCCAGAGGGACATCCCATAGCATGTGAGGCCATGCTCAGCAATCAAACCAGAGGAATTGAAGTTGGCAGGGGCTCCCCTTGTTCAGAAACTGGCTGGGCATCAGTTTGTTGTTTTTCTTGGTTTTTTTCTCCCTCTTGTTTTCTTTTTTCCTTTTTTTCCCCCTTGTTTTTTCCTTTAGTTAAACTGCCTTTATCCCAACCCACCGGTGTTTAACCCTTCCCATTCTCTCCGCTGGGGTCAGGAAATGAGTGACTGGCTGTGTGGTGCTGGGCTGCCAACCAGGRGTAAATCATGACAATCCTCTGTAAAACTGTAACAGCAGTGCCCTGTGCACACAACATCTGAATGACGGAACTCAGTCAGCATCTGCAGATCAGGATTGCAGCAGGGAACAGGAGGTTTAGCAAACAGGAGGTTTTTATACTCAGAAAAAATCACAAGTATGACAACAAATCTCCACACAGCGAAACATCAGTATTAAAAATGGAGAAAGTCAGAAATACAGAAAATGTGTTATTTGCAAAAACCACTGAGCGAGTCTTCCGACAGCCACGTTGAATATGACACAACTGAGACTGATGTGAACCTTTCCCCTGGGGAGTTCAATCATGGAGTTAGGAATCTGTGRGGTAAAACATGCAACTTTGCCTTTTTTGTCTTTTTTGGTTTGACAAACAGGATATGGGTGATGTATCTCCAAGACTTGGGTCTTTCCAAGTTCAGATCCCTCTATGGCTTTTGCATACACTAAATATGCTATCAAAATCTGCTACTCGTGGTAGGATTAATTAAAGCAAGTAAGATATTAGCTGAATCTGACCAGTGTGAGGAGATCAATTAAAAGAGACCATAGGCTTTCTTCTTTCTTTTTTGCAAAGTGGCAGATCAYACTGGAAGCTGAATGGTACAGAATGGTGTTTGGTGCAGCTTCACAGATTAACTTGGTTTTATGCTGCAAATTAAAGCTATTTTCTTGCTTTCTTAGTTCACAGTGTCCTTAGAGGCTATATCTCTGGTTTAGGGCAGTTTGAATTGCACCCACTTAATTCCTTAGCAAGTTTAAGTTTATTCTTTCTTTTTTTTTTTTTAACTGTATTTTAATATTTTATTAACTTACTTTAAGGATGGATTAACTGTAGTGCAATCACTGCTCAAGCAACAATGCTGGCACTTTGCTATTTTTTCTCCTTTTAATACTTACTGGCATTGTCTCAAGTGATTATCATCATGATTTAAAAGCCTTGTTGTTTTTTAAAATTAGATATTTTCTTTTGATCAAATGATACAAACTCTATCAATACAATTCAGACTACACTGCTTTGAATCAGCCCATCAGCTTTTCCCAAAAGAGCTTTTGCATACCTGGATGCTGCTTTAGAGGATGAAAAAAAAATAGGAAACCATGGTTATCACACAGACAGACAACAATTAGTGTGTGGTGTATTGGGTATGGTATAAATTTTTGCAAACTTCACTGTTAGACCAGTATGGCAGAAAGCACTTGCAGAAAAATCAGAGTAGGATGATTCTAATTAAGAGTGGACCCAGAGAGATCAAGTAATTTTTGACAGATTTGTTTAATTGGAGCCATGCATTGCTAGGTTTAGTCAGCCTGACTRTGGTCTTTCTTGCTCCTGTATTTCAAACTGCAGAAGCTTCTAAATATTAATGAATTGACCAGAAAAAGAATTCACATAAAGCTTAAAATCAGATTATGTGAACTCCTGCAAAAAGTACCGTAATACACGGTCGATCCTTAGGAATATAAGAGGAAATTAATTAACAGAGAAAGGGGAAAATGTTGAACTCAAAGCCACATTAAAATTCAAACCATTTGCTTTTGGCAACACTGCTTTAAAAAAAAAACAAAAACCATATTGTAACTATTAATGGAAAAGCCTTTCTACTGGCAAGGCACATACRAAGTCTCTCTGCAGCTTCCAGTGTCTTCTGTCTCCTGCTGAAAGAAAAAATCTCCTTGGTAAGAAAACACTTTCGGGAGAGATTTTCAGGAAAATATGACAGAGTGACCTAGTGACATGTCTGAAATGAGCCACCAAGGGCTGTGGCTGGGTTTCACCTCTTCMCCTCCACCAGCTCAGAGAATGTCCTGACCAACTACACACAGCCTGTGGAGTTAACAAAGGACATCCACCAAGATGCAGGAAGTCAGASCCAGAAATAATTGTTTCTCCCTATGCTTGTGCAATTGTAGGGAGATATAATTTACAGTTTACACAGACTCAGCTCTTTCTACCCAATGAATACACTTTAATTGTTTTTAACATGATTTGGGGATAACCACAACTGAAAACAATGATTAAGCAAAAGATRGGGGTTTAGGTGCTTTAAGAAACAAATAAGCATTGCACTTGTGGCCATGGAGGTACTGAAATTCCGTAGCTACAGCAGTAAACTTCAGACTGCTTCTCACTCTCACAGGGAGTTGGGATATATGTGCAGGCAGGTTTCAAGGGAATRTAGTGGATTGGATTAAAACCTGCACTGGGGCAGCAGTTTCAAATGGTGCTACRGGAGGAAACCTTCCCTAGGATTTTATATAGCCATCTTTTCTTTTGGATAAAGTAAATAATGCATAGGCAGAATACCCATCAACTGATTTTACAAATTGTTAATAAATAAATAAAAAGTGGAAAATTTAACAGACTCTCAAATGCTAATGAAAGGTTGGTTTGAACCCAGTGCTGGGTATGYGCACAACTGCTGAGGGAACTGGCCTGAAAAAGCTCCCACTGCGTGTTGTAAAAACAGCCTTAGCCATGACTGACTTTAATCCAAAGGAGTTGGTATAAATCTTTTTCTTTTTCCTCACAATTTTATTTTTCTCATTTACAGTTAGTCCAGAACTCAGGYCTAGAAGAGCATGCAAAATTTACCACTGAATGAAAAAAAAAATTGTTTAAATGGAACATTTGATTGTTCCTGGCCTGATTACAGGAATACCAATACAAAACAATTCTATGGAAATCAAAGTGGCTGTAGAAATGTAATCTCAGTACAACCATGAAAATCTATCAGCCTGGCGATACAAGATTGCCATAAATAAATGTTGTCTATTCCATTTGTTTCCACTTTCCATGAACAACACTGGAATGTGAAGTTAAACTTGGTGTGTTCTTTTTATTTGCATTGCAAATGAGGCCTTCCTGGGCTTCCTGGATGCTTTCCTGTCGCAGGCACCTGCCCAAGTGTTTGTTGAGGAGAGGGGCGCAAAGCCACAAGGTTTYCCAGCAGGATGGTGCTCAGTAAGAGGCAGGAGTGCCATTCCTCAGCAACAGTCATGGCATGGAACTGGACATGATGTGTGGAGAAGGACAACCACACTGGCTGTCCAGAGAAGAGCACTTAAGGGTCCTTGGTCATACTACAAAACCATTTTCTCCAGGGGAAAACACCCAACCCAGCAGCTTTTATGTCAGGGGACCCTTTCAACATGGAACAGAAAATAACTGAGCCTTTATGTGCATCTTTGAAATAGGCAATATCCCAAATTCAGCCTGATCCAAAAATTATGTGAGGAGTTTTGATGGGTCACTAACTGCTTGACACTGTACAGGATTAACTTTGTCTAATTGTAAAGGACCTTTGGGAATGTAGATGATACAAAACTCTTCATGAAGSTTGAATTCCAAACCATTTTTCTGTCACCAGTTCTCTGAAAGTCCCTAAAGTGTGTTGTTCTGTTGCAACACTCCTGGTTCTATCAGTGGCATTTGCTGTTGGGCAATCCAGCTGGATAATGTAAGGTAACTCCAATTATCCTTTACTAATTCCTGCCAGTAAGAAAATTACCTGCCCTGCTTTGTTACGCTGTAAGACTGGTTATTGATGGCTGCAACAATGGTGGCTGTACAGGATATTTAGCTGATCCAAGGTAAGTCCCAAAGTCTCTTGAGGAAACACTGCACGGATGATGAACTGGGTTAAATTTTATAAATAAGGATGCATGAAATGTGTGGTGGAGTTTTTCTAGCAATAAAGATGGGGTTCTTTCTAAATGTGAGG